CCCCAGTCAAACCATAAATGTAATCCCCCTCACCATGTATCCAGCAGAAAAAGGCAGATGTCTAGTCGTCATTCGGTACTCTCCACCTTCTTAGAATAAAGGCCAGTTTTAATTTATATTCTCTCCTTTACCACAGTGAAAACACTATCAGAAAGCTTCTGTCTGAGAGGAGGGGTCATAAGTGGGTTGTCAAGGACTCTGTATCTTCTAGGGACTTTATAGAATAAAATCAGGGGGTGAGATGGGTTTAAGGTGGGGAAAATTAGGAACTCACAAGGCAGGTGTGCAAAACTTTGGACAGACCTATGTTTAGCCAATATAATTAATAGTTCAGGTAAAATCATTTACACTGCAGACAAATGGGGAAGTGAGGTCATAGAAAGCAGGCATTTTCAGAGCAGTAACTCTCTTCTATGGGACTGGGAGGGTGACTCCTGACTTCAGCAGGGTGACAGGGAACTATTTAGAAAATCAATTCTTAGGATGTGAATGCATTGCTTGGTATTTTCTCTTGAGGCCTGTCCCATAACAGGAGGTATCTGTCTCCCAATAGCTGCAAGGTATGTGGGCTTCTGAGCTGCACATATCTAGGACCTGATTCTGTCTCCCTGGCTCTATATTTCTAACTAACTCAGCTGCCTATAACATCAGGGCTTGCCCCTCAAAGAAGCCAGAAAATAAGTTCAGATTGGTTGCAGGATTGGAAGAGACCATCACCTCCTGCTGTGGGCCAAATCTCAAAGCAAAAGGCAAATTAAATACAACCAAGTGCTAAGGACCAACAGTCCAAATAGTTCTCTGATCACCCTGAGGAACAAAAGAGTCACCATCCCAACCCTCTACAAGAAGATTCTCTGCTCTGAAATCTGCCCACTTATTATTACTTGCTCTCCCATTTGTTCCCAATTTAATCAATTTTACCAGAGCAATTAACCTTATTGGTTGACCACATTTCTACTCTGCCTTATGCTTAACTTTCAGATTCCCATTTTCCCCTCCCCTGGACCCATCTAACCTCATGATTTCACTCTATACAAGTTCCTTAAAAAGACAAAGTCTTTGGCAACACACTGAGACCCTTCCTGTCTCTCAGACAGAAGCTTTCCTTCTCCCAATAAATATATTCCACTCTTAAACTCCATCATTCCTAAAATTCATTCTTCAATTTTAGAGAACACAAACTCATACCAGATATATATTAGGTAAGGAGTTTCATTCCCCTATACCATTAACATGAGCCAAATTAACATGACTATACTTTTATAGTGTCTGAAATTTTTTTCTTTTCCTGCAGTTTCAAGTGATTAATATAACTCACAATGATTATAATCCTGGCAATATCTTAAATTGTATACAACAATCATTATAAATGTAAAATAATTGCTTTGATTGTTTTATTTAGCAAGACCTAGACTTTGCCATGGTCCTAGGTTATATCTTATAAAAGAGAAGGTTCATCTATAATTGTTCAGAAATATTTATACATTATTGCCTGCTTGAACAATTTTTAATTAGATAAACTGTATTTTCAGTTTCTAGAAGGCTTCTATTATATTATTGAAAGCTGTCTGTAGGCATCTAGGACCTTGGCTATAATTTGATGCATAATTCTGTTTTGAAACTTGTATAAAGATTTATTTTTATCTTAGGAGTAAACTCACTGCATTGACACTGATAGAGTGAAGCAAAAGCGCACTGCATTAATTTCCATTGGACACTCGTGGCATAGAGCATGTCAATTACTGAGAAGGTAAAATAGCTTCATATATAGACAAGAATCAGTACTATTAGGATTTCATGGCCCAATAGAGAAGCAGAATGATAGGATTATTTCCAAAAGATGAAAAATATTTCCAAAAGATGAGAAGTATAAAACAAAAAGAAGCCTTTATTCTGAGAACAAGGATAGAGATGACTGGCACCCCCCCACCGCTGGAGTCCAGTCATCTCTATGGCAGACACGTGGGGTGAGGGTATGTAAGTAGCCTCAGTCTGGGGTGGAACCTAAGGAGGACTTTAGGGATGGACAGGTAGCCCATTGGTCTTAGGTTTGGCACCATAGGTAAATTACCAGGGCTGAAAGGTGGCATCATAGGTAAATTCCTAGGGGCGGGGGAGATAGGGGCTTCTTGCTTTCTGTTGAGGCTTTCCTGGCTACAGAGACCTGTCTGGGCCAAAAACCTTTCACAGAATATAAGAAAAAGTAGCAGTGTCCTTTCTATTTAAAGAATGTGGAGAGGAACATACAGCCACCAAGGGTTTTCCGTTTTTTTCTGACAGATTATGGGATTATAGGGTATATATGAAATTTGGTAGTGCTGGCACTGACATTGACATCATGTAAGGAGCTGATTGGAATTTTCTTTTGGCCCCTGGGAAAGGAATGAGGAAGTTGTATTCAGGGAAAAACGAGGAAGCAGCCATATGGGTAAGTGTTGTACTCTAAGAAAATAGCTTCGTTATATGTGTTTTATAGCAAACCTGTATAGGGGCTTACTAAATGTGTTTGTTTTATCTTTTTTCCCTAACTGATATGTTAAGTGACCTAACTGATATGTTGAGCAACACTCTCTCCTGTAAAAAATTGCAAGAATCTCACCTAATTGATATGTTAACCATTGTTGCCCTCTATAAACTACAGAAGCTGTGCTAAAACAAGCTAACAAGGGTTGTTAATCACTGCTAGGTGCCTCTATTCTCCGCTAAAGAGCTAAGAAAAACTAAAATGGCAATTAATTTACATTTGTTTAAAGTAACCTGCTTGTGTGCAGAGAGATTTGCATGTGAGTTTAACCCTTTACCCTGACCTTGACACATTACCGCCGTTTTCTGTTCTGTATGGCGCCTTATTGCCTCCCTCTCCCCTCACCTATCTATCTAGGCCATAAAGAATTTGGGTTTCTGGTGACCTCCCCCCAACCCGGTGATGATCTGTTATAAAATGAGCCTGCCCCAATTTTAAGAGCTGCTTAGCTTAAAGAAATTACCGGGTAATACTATGGCCCAAACCCCAATCGGTGCTTTCCTTTTGTAATGTATGTATCAAATGAGTTAGATATCAGGTCTTCGTAAAACTTAAGTTCCAGCGTCTCATAACTCGTGACCCCTTCGCACTCACTAGCGAAGACAAGCTGTCCTGAGATAATTAACTCTCCACTTTCTTCTCAAAATATTGCTGCAGACGTGCCATTCTGAGATAATGTCAGTCTGCAGGATGGGAGTAATTTAAAAAAAACACCAGGAACTCCCTAGATTGTCAGAGCTAAGTAGACAGCAATACAGTTTCCAGACTCGGGTCAACAAGTTTGATGGCTCTGCAGGTTTCTTTGTTTCTCTCCCCCCCCCCCCCCCGCCTTTTCCTCCAGCCCCTTTTTAAAGTCCTCCCTTCAGCTTCTGGGGGACAGTCTCCAAATTGGCTCCCGGAGACTGGTCACCAGGCCTGGAAATAAAGCCTTTGCCACTAAATTTTCGGTCTCTTGCCTCCTTGGATTTTATACCGGGGCCCAAGTTACAACAGTAAGCATCCCTGATTTGACACTTCACCCTGATGAACTACCACCATGATGTCCTGTAATTTATTCTAGAGCAAAACTCTTTAAAGTACATCCTTCAGTTTAAATTAAGAAATGAAAATAAAGAATTTTTGCTATGTGTCTTCTTCTATGGTTAGTGGTAAACAATTCACAAGGAAAGTTTCTAAACATTTCCTTAATGCATTGTAGATAGCATAAACAAAACTACAGATCAGTTCACTTTCAGAAAACAGAAGCAGCACTAAAAGTCAGGGATAAAGCCCTTCAATGCAAATGTCCCTTAAGAGGTGAGATCAACATTTAAGAATACAAGCATCTACTTAATTCTCTGACTTCAAGAAAAAGAAAAATTTACACTGTTATTGCTATAGGGTAATGAAACTCCAGGTCTACTATGTCTGGGATGAGTTTGTGTTGTCTGAAGTCAAAAAATGAATTTTAGAAAAAAGAGAAGTCAAGATAATATAATTATTGGGAGAAAGAAAGCTGTGTGAGAGAAAGCAAATGCGTCCTAACTGGGTTGGCAAAGACTGTCTTTTCCAAGGACTTTTAGAGTAAAATCATGTGGTGAGATTGGTGGAAGGTGGGGAAAACTGGGAACTCACAATGCAGATGGGCATAAGATGGGACAGAGCTATGGTAGCCAATAAGATAAATAGTTCAGGTAAAGTTGATTAAATTGTGAACAAAGGGGGAATGGAGTCACATAGAAAGCAGACATTCTTAATCAGCAGTGAATCTTCCCTTAGGGGTTTGGGAGGGTAACTCCTTAGTTCATCAGAATGATAGGAACTATTTAGAATGTCAGTCTTTAGGATAAGGATAAATTTCTTTGAATGGTGACTCCTGACTTCCTCAGAGGGCTAGGGAACTATTTAGAATATCAGTCCTTAGGATATGGATGAGTTTGTTGATCTTCTGTCTTGAGGCTTAGCCCATAGCAGGATTTGCCCATCTTCTCCATAGTTGCAAGGTATCTGGGTTTCTGGATGGGCTGCTAGGAGGACCTAGCCCTGTCTCATTGCTAATCATAATTAACTAATTCAGCTCCACATGTTAGTATTTTTAGGAAAATTGAATACAGATGTCTTGTGCTCTGGGTGAGTGATCTGGGGATGACAATGTGCAATGTATATACCAGTGTTGCCCCCTGATTCACATGTCTTGAAATTTAGTTTTAGATTATTTTTTCTTTTTATCCTTGAAATGAAAATTTGGAAATGAAAAGCCTGAGGTAAGGCACTTTGGTACACATATTCCTCTGTGTAGCTGAGATCAACACTGGTGAAGACAACCAGCTTCAGAAGTCTCTGACTACTGTCTATCATTTGGGATCCTCTCTTGCAGGAAGGAGTTCCATTCCCTGTTTATTTTTGACTTAGAAGGAGGGCAGTAGAGCAGCAGTCAATCAGTGATGAAGAGGCGGGCTATATGAAATGTCCAATCAGGCGAGCTGTGGGAGGAGGTCTCTTGGGTCTCTTCCGGTGTATAGAAATTGTGTACCTGTTTGGAATACAAAACTGGGAGCAGAATGTTGCTGGATCTCATTTACTGGTTTCGATGTCCTGTGGCCTGATTAGCAAAGAACCTGGGAGACCCTCTAAGCCACAGAATGGTGAGGCTTTGGATGGGAGCCCAGAAATAGGGTGGAATTGGGAGAAGACAGTTACAAGTGGTGAGAAGTAGTTCTGGTGTGTGTAGACTCAGGTATTTAGTTAGCTTCAGCTCCAGAGGTCTTCTAGCATTGGTCTTGGGTCGTCCACTTTCCCTTTTTTCTTCTGCTGGGAGCAAGGATGATTCTGTGTCCCCAGAGCCCTGAATTAACTCTGATAGCAACAGACTGGAGTATCATCTTTGAAATTTTCTACTGCCCTGACAACTTCACCATAGAGAGCAGAGGAAGGAGCTTGGGAAGCCCCTGACTCTGATGCATTTTGTAGCTGGAGCATCAGTACTGAGCTTGGTCTCTGCTCTCATTCCAGGGATCAGCAACCTTGATGTTCTAAAGTTTATAAATGTTTGTAATGCAGGGCCTCATATCCACAATGGCACTTCTTAAACTTGTAATTTTTTGTATTTATAGGGATTGCCTAAATTTATGATATGTTCTTGCACTTCCAACCCCATGACAGGTGTTGGCAAAGATTATGAAAATTCAGAGATGTGCAGTGATGTGCTTCAGTGGAGGAAGGCTTTCCAAACACCTGGTGAACTCCTGTGTATGATAAATAACAGTGAAAATAATTTTTCAACATAATTTATGTGACACGTGCTCATAGACTATATTTGTGAGAACAGCCATAGAAGTTTCAATTTTGAGAAAAATGAAGCAGATATAAAAGTGTCCTCAAGGGCCGGGTAAAGTGTGCTTGCTAAGGACAAATTCCAGAAAGGCCTGCCTGTTAAATTCTCACTGGAAAATGCCTAAATGTAGGAACATGCCTAAGTTGCATGAACATATACATGTGATATCCTTCTGAATGGAAAGGAATATGGGTGTCATCTCTGAATTAAGAGCTGCTTTAATAGTGTGGTTGGTCATATACATTGTTTAAATATTGAAATGCTCTGTAATGGACTTTACTAATTCATGTAAAGAGATTCCCTAAATTGAAATTGTGCAGGGATATCAATAGTTAAGGCATGAAGGGTTTTCTGCTTAGGGTGGACCGGAGGAACATGGAAAGGATGTGGAAGTGACAGCAGGACACAGTGTGCAAATAGCAGGACATACAACAGAGAGGGTCTTCACTGAGTCAGGTAGTACTTAGGGTAAGCATGAAGTTAAAGTTGAATTATGATATCTTCCTTAAGGTGAATAACACCAGCTCTGGTAACAATCAGTATTCCACATCTCTGTCACCCCATGAATTCTGTGTTATTCACTTGAAATCTAGTTTTGATTATCTCGAATTATGACTCAGTATCATGAAGGTGAAATTTGAATTTTTTTTGTACCAAGTATTGAACTCATGTTCTCAAGCTTGCAAGTTAGGTTTTCAAGCTGCTAGCTAAATACCCAGTTCTGAAAGTGTTTTCTGTATATTATGGATAATATCAACCTTGTTCCTCAGAAAATGTTGAATATTGTGGAAAGTTTCTTAATTGTATGGCTATAACTTTTAAAAGCAAACCAAAGATGTCTTATGCAGTCACTTTCCAAGTTTCACATTGTCTGTGGGGTGTCTCCATCAGGGTTTCTCTATTTCAGGCAGCTCTGTAACTTAGGCTAGCCCCAAACTCAAGACAGTTCTCCTGCATCAGCCTCCCAAGATATATTTCTTATATCTGAGTGGAAAGTGATCACTTGTTGACACTGAGGTATAATTTGAAGCTTGCACCTGCTTTCATTGTTTATACGTTTTTTACATACAGCAGTTTTCCATGAACATTTGTGTTATAATTTATGTACCATATTTGATGTTATTTATGTTTTGTTCTATGAAACCAAATTCAAATATCAAAATGCTGCTTAAGTATATCAAGAACAAAGGACTCAGTGGCCTAATTGAGATTTGAAGAGATATAATTGGTAGTCCATCAAAGTGATGGATGAGATACTTGTCTGCCTCTGTGCTTTATGGATGCTGGTCCTGCAGGCTCTCACTATGAGCTCTGCATTAGAGACAATGCACAGCAACTCTTGCAGTGACTCAGCATAAGAATCAGTGCTCCTATTTGGCTGTTACAGTAGTGGTGAGTTGCTACATAGCATGAAATCGCTGTCTCAAAAAATGTATATACAAAAATTAATCCCCAAGATATGGGATTAAGATTTGAAGAAATCAGTTTCCATTCAGCTGTTTTCTTTGGTTTTATTTGTTTAGTTTAGCTTTGTTTTATTGAGGCAGGTTTTCTCTATGTATATCAGCTAGATTTGAACCCCTTATGGAGTGCAGAGTTGCCCTAACCACAAAGCAGCACTCCTGCCTCAGTTTCTGGAGTGCTGGGATTATAGATATGTGTGTTTTTACCCTAGAAAATATTGAGGCGTGTAACTTAGCTGTGTTGTAGCTTGGCATAGTAGATGGCATCTTGAGCTTTGCATTTAACTAGTGCCCTGTACTTCACCCAGAAAAATGGAAAATCACTCAGGGTAGAAGTCCAAGGAGTAAAGCAAAATGAGCTATAAACAAAGAAAAAAATTAACCTGCTCAACAAAAGAAGCAGAATAAATTTGTCATCCAAAAATTATTATAAGAATCTAGCTCAATGATTTCCAACAGGATCTTTTTGTGATTCTATCTTTTAAAATGTCTGTAACTTTCCAGTTCAAAGCCTCTTCTTTAGATCCTGAAATGGGGATGGGGGTTCTGTATACAAGTGGTCCTGAGACCAGCTAATGAAATTTCACATTTCTCAATTGGTTTGCTTGTCTTCCTATATTGTTGTTCACAAACTCAACTCAAGCTGCAGAAACCTTTACTGACACAAGCAAACACCAGGATTAAATGACAGTGGCACTGAAATGAAAGAATAATATTGAAAAGGAAAGGAGAAAAAAGACAAATGCCATGTGTTATAATGCCCACCTCTTTTCCCTAGAGATGAAGAGGTTGAAACAGGAGAATGGCCATGTATTCAAAGAGCCAACCTACATAGTGATTGCAAGGCTGGCCAGAACTCCAAAGTGAGTCTATGTCTTTAAATCAAAAAACTAAAATGAAAAAAATAAACAAGGTGACAGAAAGACTATTTAAAAAAATAATTATGGAGCTGAGTGAAAGTTAACTTATGCAAAATGGGAATTATTGAATGATGCTGCAGAAGAAGGAAGGCCATGTAGTGGCATCCAGGAGGCAGTGACAAACACAGATTTAGGAATGGCACCTATTGTGCTACAGCACAACAGTGATCTCCTTCCCCCAATACATTTGTAGTTCACTAGACTGAGGACTTCTAAAAGTCCATGGAAATGTTAAACTCATGGCAAACAAGCAGCTTGAAATCCAGCCTTTGGAACATGGCCTTTAGCAGAATTTCATATTTAAATTTAAATAAGAAAAATATAATTCTGCCCTGTTTGATATCAAATGCACCAAGTTTAATGGCTCACAACATTGAGAAATGAAGCCACAAACCAAAAGAAGTTCCAAAATTTTCTTAGAAAAAAAGAGAAGAATAGCCCTGAATTTTCTGGAGTGGTCTTCAGTGTTTTGGCCACAGACCTATTGTCAGGGAACAGTTATACAGTAAAGTCCCAATGTGGGTACAGTATGGGTCTCAGACTACAATCAACCTATAAAGTTATAGCTGCTTAACTAATATTATTCAGCAGGGGAACAAGTCAGCCAGAAAAGGTATGTTGAAAGAGCCAAGGCATTTTGTGGGAACAATAGTCCAGTTGTTCTGGTCTTTGAGTATGGTAATTGAGGCCTATCGGGACTTCCTGGAGCAGGTGGTGGAAACTGCAGTACATTTCAAACTATTGTTTTTCTCTTCAGGAGCATGTAGACATTGTCACTGGATCTTCACCTTCAGTTCTGGCTTTCTTCAGCTGTGCCTGTAGCAGTGATTGTTGTGTTTAGTTTTTTGCATTGACTCTTTGAGGTTCCAGTTCTTCTCTGATTGTATATCAATTTCTGTCTACATTGACATCCTTTGCTAAAATCACAATAGTATTTGAATGAATAAAGTGATGTTTATACATTTAAAACTATTCATTAATACAGGCCAGGGATTTAAGCTCAGCAGGCAGAAACGTCTGCCTGGAAAGTGCTAGGTTGTAACTTTGATCACGGGTACCTATAAACAAAAGTAATTTAAACTGCAAGGAAATAAAATCATTTCATTTGCGAAAATGTAGGTTTATAAAATTTATAACTAAATATGTCAATGGCAAATTAAACATTGTTAATAGTCATATTTAGTATCTAAAGTTGTTGATTCTGGGTTTTGAATTCAGTGATAAAAGAAGCTGCCTGGAGTGCACAAGGACATGAGTTCAATCTCTCATACAAAAAAAAAATTCACAGTTGTCAGTGATTTAGTGCTATGAGCACATTTATTGAAACTGATACTTGTTAATTAATAGGCTTAATATTTCCTTTGTGGTCTATGAAATACCTGCACATAACATGCCAATTACAGTAAATGATGTACTGTCCCCTATAGTGTTAGACCGGTGTCGCAAGGAAGACTCCAAGGGCCTCACTCTCATGTAAAAACAAAGGGCTTTTTATTATTCTGTGTACACGGGGTCCTCCAAACAGGTGGAAATGGAGAACCCTGAGTTGGGGCAAGGCTGGTGTTTTTAAGGATGAAAACCGCAAAGCAGGCGAGGTTACAGAAGCAGATCGCATTGGTTAGTTTTGAACGGTGCAGGGCTTGGCAAAAGCTGATTGGAGGGGCTCAGGGTTGGGTAACTATGGTGTCCGGGGTTCTAGCCTGGTCACTGTGTTCCCGGAACTGTTACTTATCTTGCCTAACTCACTGAAACAGAACATCCTGTGGTTTTATGACCAACGGAAAGTCCCTTCTTGCTTTGTACAGATAGCTCGGGGGTTGCAGCTGTAAAGTTAACTCTTTCAGTACAATCTAATACAATCTGATGCAATTAACACAATTTGTGATGGGGCTACCAGATAGGGAAGACTCAGGATGTCAGGAGCTATT